CTTCTAAGTTGAAAAGAAGCATTTAGAAACATTTATAGTAATTTGCCTAACCATTTTTATTATTTTATAAAAGTATCCAGTCTACAAATGATCAGAAATTTTTAAAAACTCCCCCATCACCATAGATAAGTTTGTTGAAGCGGAGTTGGTGAGACATAGAGTAAGCACAATGTCAACTTCAGTTGATACGCTAAGTTGTTTTTCAAACTTGTTCTAAATTGTATATCCCACACTCCCAGTGGTGCGTAGCTGTTCCACTTCCTCCACATCTTCATCAACACCTAGTATTGAAGGATGTTTTATTTTTGCTAATTGGGTGGGTATTAAAATCGTACCTTATTGTGGTTTTAATTTATATTACTAATTTGATTACTAATGAGATTGAGCATCTTTTATATGTTTATTAGCCATTTGGGGTTTTCTGTTCTATGAAGTGCCTATTCAAGTATTTCATCCATTTTTCTGTTGGATTATTTGCCTTTCTCTCACTGATTTGTAGGTTGGTTTATATGTTTTGGATACAGATTCTTTATTGGCTTAATGTGTTTCAAATATGTTCTCCCAATGTGTGATTTATATTCTTTAAATTTTTTTTTTTAAATATTGGTCCTGAGCTAATATCTGTTGCCAATCTTCCTCTTTTTTTTTTCCCTTCTCCCCCAAACCCCCAGTACATAGTTGTATATTCTAGTTGTGGGTCCTTCTAGTTCTGCTATTTGGGATTCCGCCTCAGCATGGCCTGATGAGCGGTGCCATGTCTGCGCCCAGGATCCGAACTGGTGAAACCCTGGGCTGCCAAAGCGGAGCGCGCGAACTTAACCTCTCAGCCACGGGGCCAGCCCCTGTGATTTATATTCTTAATCTCTTAGTATGTATTTTGATGAATGAAAGTTCTTAATTTTAGCAAAATTAAGTTTATCAGTCATCTATTTTCAGTTTGTGCTTTTTTTGCCTTTTTTTAAGAAATCATTTCCTATCTAAAAATCATAGTATTTTCCTATGTTCTAAAAAATTTTTAGGTTTATCTTTCACTTCTAAGTCTATAATGCAGTTAGAATTGATTTTTTATTGTTATGAAGTAAGAGATCCACTAAATGAAAATTCTATTCTTTTCTCTCAAATTTACTCTGCCAGCAGTCTACATAAACAAAATCCCTTTGAGATCTTCAATAGTTTTTTTTAATGATTTTGTTTACTTTTTTTTTGCAAGGAAAGATTCACCCTGAACTAACATCTGTTGCCAATCTTCCTCTTTTTTTTTTCCTCCCCAAAGCCCCGATGCATGGTCGTATATCCTAATTGTAAGTCTTTCTGTTTCTTCTCTGTGAGCCATTGTCACAGCATGACAACTGACAGATGGGTGGTGTGGTTCTGCGACCAGGAAATGAACCCAGGCTGCCAAAGCAGTGAGAACACTGAGCTTTAACTACTAGGTCATCAGGGCTGGCTCTTCAATAGTTTTAAAAATGTATAAAGGGTTCCTGAGGGGTTGGCCCAGTGGCGTAGTGGTTGGGTTCGTTCATTCTGCTTTGGCAGCCCGGGGTTCACTGGTTTGGATCCTGGGTGTAGACCTGTGCACCACTCATCGAGCCATGCTGGGGTAGGTGTCCCACATATAGAGTGGAGGAAGATGGGCACAGATGTTAGCTCAGGGCCAGTCTTCCTCAGCAAAAAGAGGAGGATTGGCAGCAGATGTTAGCTCAGGGCTAATCTTCCTCAAAAAAAAAAAAAAAAGTAAAGGGTTCCTGAGATCAAAAAGTTTGAGAATCACTGTTAGAGATCCACAGGAAAAAGTCAAAGGCTCCAATAAACTTGGACCAAAGACAGGCAAGTCATTAAAAAAAAAATCCCCACAGATGTACAATGAGCATGACAAAAAAGTGATGACCCCTAATAAAGAAATGCAAATAAAAAGTAAATATGCTATTTTACTTATCAAATTGACAATTATAAAAATACTTATAAGTAGCCTTTGAAAGGCAGTTTGGCAGAATGTATCAAAACCCTGTTTCCTTCCAGCTATTTCTGGAAATATGTCCTATAGAAATTATTAAGAATGTATCTGAAGATTTAGCTTCAGTATGTTCATCATGGTTTTTTTTTTTAATTTGAAAATTCAGAAATAATCTAAAATCCAAGTGATAGAAGAAACTTCCAGTGGAAGAAAAATATTGATAATGGGTTTTCTTTCCTCTAATTCATTTGAGGTAGTAAAGCCCCTGGAGTGCTTTGATGGCCACCTGCTGCTTTGTTGTGTGGAACCGTCATTAATCTGACCCTGACTACCCTCCCCTTTAGAAGTTTGTCCAGTAAATGTCAAATAATAACCAATCAGCATAGAGCACATTAAGTAATTGGTGGGTTTGTTCTTTCACCAAAAACATTTATAGCTTTTAGCTTTTAAAAATAGTTTTGGAGTGCAGCAAGACAGAGAAGGGGAACATTGGCCTAGATGATACAGAGGATAGCAGATGAACAGGGTTGATTTCATTTTGGGCACTTTGCCCAGGACACTTTTAATAGAACATATAGTTACTCTAGGGATTCTGAGTCTGTGGTTATGTCAGGCTTACACATTTATTCTTTAAAAGGAAAAATTGCACCTTATGAGACTCTAGGTACACCCATATGACTTAAAATCTTAAAACTGTTTCTACCTGGTGGCACAGCGGTTAAGTGCTCACATTCCACTTCAGTGGCCCGGGGTTCCCCGGTTCAGATCCCAGACATGGCACCACTTGGCAAGCCATGCTGTGGTAGGCGTCCCGGATATATAGTAGAGGAAGATGGGCACAGATCTTAGCTCAGGGCCAGTCTTCCTCAGCAAAAAGAGGAGGATTGGCAGCAGATGTCAGCTCAGGGCTAATCTTCCTCAAAAAAAAAAAAGTTTCTATAATCCGGCCATTAATAATTTGCTGTGTGTAGGCTGGATTCCTTAATATTAAAACTATCTTAATCATGGGTAGAAAATATTTTGAACTTCCTTCCTCTAAAACACAATGTGTTCATTTCTTTCAAAGTTTAAGTTCAAAAAGATGTCTAAACTAGGAATTGGAAGGTTATTTTTATGTGAAGAATTTTTAATCTTACTATATTTTTAAGGAATTTTTGTATACTCAAGAATCAATCAATTTAGAATTGCTGATCTTAGATTTAGACCTAAAAATTAGAAGGAAAAATACCAACATGGTAATAGAGCTTGTGTTGGGATAGTGGCTTTGAGTGAATTTCTCCTTTTTGCTGTTTTCCAAAATTTTAGTAATATGTTCATTACTTTTATTATTTATAGAATTATTTATAATCCTCTCCCCAAAAAATTAGCCTTAAAAAGGATGTGACATTAAAAAGGCTAAGATTTTCAAAGAATTATCTCATATTAGGTAATATGGAAGTCTACTTTTGTTTTGAAGTGATGTGTTTAAATATAATGGGCCAGATTCTTACCATGGAAATATTCTTATAATTTGGTTAATAAAAGGATAGTTAGAGTAGAAAAAAATTATTGTATGTGGTAAAAAACATCTGGGAATTATTAGTTCTAATGATACATAAGAGGAAGTGACTTTTTATTTATTTATTTTTTTATTTCTTAATAAATTCTTTAGTTTGTTTTTTTCTTCTTCTTCTTCTCCTCCCCCAAACCTCCCAGTACCTAGTTGTATATTCTAGTTGTAGGTTCTTCTAGTTGTGCTATGTGGGACACCACTTCAGCATGGCCTGATGAGCAGTGCCATGTCTGTGCCCAGGATCCGAACCAGTAAAGCCCTGGGCCGCCGAAGCAGAGCATGCGAACTTAACCACTCGGCCATGGGGCCAGCCCCAGGAAGTGACTTTAAAAAGTACTATGTTTTGTTTCAGAAATACCAGAAATTTCTCACATTTGCTTCTCATATTGAGCAGTACAATACTTTTAATGAGCCAGTGCCTCAGGACCTTTATACCTGCTGTTTCTTCTACCTGAAATACTCTTCCCTGCTTCTTCCTCCTTCCTCTAACACACTCCTCCTTCTTCAGTCTTGGTTTAAATATAATTATTTTGACAAGCTTACCATCACCCACCTCCCCTAAATCCCAACCCCACCTTTTCTATCTCCCTCAACCCAGGTTAAACTATTCTTTGTTTTCAGGCCACTCCACTTTTTCACAGTGTTCACTGTGGTTGTAAACATCAGTTCAGTTTGTTTGTTTTCCCCACTATTCCTTAAGCTTGATGAGGGCAGGACCTGTGAATTTCTTATTTAGAGTTGTGTTTTCAGTGTCTGGCACAGTGCCTAGTACATAATAGTTAATAAATAGTACTTATGAAATGAATTCCTTTAAATATTCATTTCATTTCCTTTTCTAAACTCTAGTTGGTATTACTTAATAATGGAGTCTTTCCATTAGAGTAGAGTAGTTATAACTTTAATTAATCATTAGTAAGTAAATAGCTGAAATAAGCAGCTGTGAGTTCCCACTAACTTGGAATATTCTTAGCTTTTTAACTTTAGGGATAAGTTTCATCCCAATGTCTCCGATGCTTCTTAGGGTACACGGTCACAGTACATTTCTTAAATGATAGATCGTAGCTACAAGTGTTGACTCTTCTGATTAGCTGTATTAATCCGAGTAGATCCAGTGCTGCCCAGATAGTACAGTACATAAGAAATACAATACCCCAGCCAGAACTGGTCTCTTGCTTTTTCTTCTTCCCCCTTTTCTTTTTTTTAACCTTTTTACTTTTATAGGGTTGAGTTTCTGTTTTCCTAATCCTTATTTGTAAAGCCCAAAATGAATAGCTTTTATATAAGGATTTACAATATTTAGATAAAATAAAAACATACACAAAGTATTTTAATTGAGCTGTTAGTCTTTTCAAGTTTTCTGATAAAACTAAGTTATTGTATTCTTGTGACACACGTGTTGGACAGTATAAAAGAAAATTTTTTCTAATGTTTTTATATGTGATCTTTAGCAATTACTTTTCTACTCATTAGGTTACATATTGTTTTCTTTTACAGTTCAAACGATATGTCAGTAAACTTCGAAGCAAGAGTACAGTTTTCAAAAAGAAGCATCAAATAATAGCTGAATTTAAAGCTGAATTCGGTCTCTTGCAGAGGACAGAAGAACTTCTTAAGCAGCGTCACGAAAATATTCAACATCAACTGGTAATACAATATTATCTTGGGGTGCTAGAAATACAAATGCCAGGAGGTTTATGGGTTCCAGCTTTATCCTGAGGTCATTATTTTTACTGAAAAAAACATAAAATTATTAATTTTCTCTGATTAATTACAGAGATGTCATATAAGCTGATTCATTTATTTTTAATGTAGCAGTAAACACTAACTTATTTTTATGTGTGCTGACTTTGGGTTAATTAATAGAAGTTGAATTCCAAGTAGGTTTTTCTTTTGTTTAGCTATTAATATGAGCAAAATTATCATACCAATAACTGTAAAGTATTTATTTTTCCTGGGCTGGTGGGCAGAAATTTCTAAGCAGTCACTTCTGTGGAGCTTTGGAAAGAAATATCAGGGGAAGGTGCTGTACGGGAGTTTGCCTGCAGGCTCGTTCCGCATGTGTCTGCGCCTTCACTGTCAGAGAAGAGTTAAGCCCAGAGCGGTCCCTCTGACAGCAAAGCTCTTCTCATTGTGGATGCCAGTCCTCTGACTTCTCTTGGTTTCGCTTTTTTTTTTCTTTTACCCTGGGGCAATTATTTCATTAGGATGTTGGTTTCCCAGCTAGTAATAATTTGGAGAGGTAAAGAAAGTTTCAACCAGTTGTGGTTAGCTGGCAATATAACTCTTTCTGTCTCGTGCTGTTGAATACTGTTTGCTTCTAGGGAACTTAAGATTGAAAATTTACCTGCATCAAACATAGATTCTAATGGCAGTTCTAAAATATGTAGTAACTGCATTATTGTTCACTTCAAAATATTTTCCAATTTCCATTGTGATTTCTTTGACCTATGGGTTATTGCTTAAAACCAAGCATTTGGGGATTTTCTAGTTGCCTTTTTGTTGTTGATTTCTACTTATTTCCGCTGTGACCAGAGAACATGCTCTGTGATTTCCGTCCTTTGAGATTTGTTGGGTGTTGCGTTACGGCCCAGCATATGGTCTGTTTTGGTAATTGCTCCATGGGCAGTTGAGAAGAATGTATACTCTGCAGTTGTTGGGGATGGCATTCTATATGTGTCAATTCTGTCAAGTGTGTTAACCATGACATTCAAATCTTCAATATTCCTATTGATATTTTTGTCTGCTTGTCCCATCAGTTATTGACAGAGATGTGTTAAAATCTCTAAATATGAATATTGTTTTGTTTGTTTCTCCTTTTAGTTCTATCAGTTTTTGCTTTCTACTTTTTCTTAAGTTGGGTTCCCTAGAAGCAGAGCCTGAGAAGGGAATACTTTGTACAAGTGATTTATTGAAAGAGGGAGAGCCTTCAGAAGAAGCAGACTGAGGGAAGCAGAGGGGACAGCAGAAAAAAACAAGCAAGAACATAGCTCTGACTGAAGACAGCTTCATTTTGAGCCCATGAGGAACTTTAGAACACAAATTGCACGATGGAGTTGATTCCATCTTGAGGCAGGAGGCTGGCCTTTTATACTCCCATATTAGTCAGTCATTGGCTGTGGCAGGGTGTAACCTCCTAGATGAGGCAGCTCCCAGTGGGCTGAGGGCATTCTCTGGAGAAGCAGCAACTGTGAGACATTAGCAGTCAACACTCATAGCAGCTTGCAGATGAGGTCTGAGTGGGGCACCAACCTGCTTGTTTATCATGTTAATTCACTCCATCCAAGTATAGCTTCTATAGGATTCTGGTTGGTCACAATTTCTAGGAAAACTTAAAGGAGGAGGGTTAGTGGGACAAATTAAAACTCTCATTGCTACATTTGGTCCCAAGGATATAACTGATACTCAACATCCCCTTCTTCTGCATTCTAGATTTCCGTCACCTTTGGCTAGCACCTCCACTGGTCTTGATGACTTACTTGGTGGGATGACCCAGTCCCTCATCTTTAAGAGGTCTGAGTTTCTAATAATCATACCCTTATTAGGCTGAGGTTGCTGTATTTACCCGTATACTGATAAAACTGGGCATAGGAATACCAAGATACATCCTCGTGGCACCTGAGTGCCAAACATATTCCTATCTGCCCTCATTATATAGCAGCATCTGTATCGTCTTATGATGTCCTGCCAATATAATAACTCTTTTCTTTGCCCACTTGTCCACATGCATGACAAGCCCAAGTGACAAGATGATAGCCAGAGCTTAAGTTTAGAGGACCTCTTAATGTACCTTCTAGTGGAAGCATGCCCACTCTGGAAACCAGAACATCTGTACCTACAGAGCATAAAGTTATCAAGAAGGGAGGTGTAGGGGCCAGCCCAGAGGCACAGTGGTTAAGTTCATGCGTTCCACTTCAGTGGCCCGGGATTTGCTGGTTCGGATCCCTGGTGCAGACCTATGCACTGCTTGTCAAGTCACATTGTGGCAGGCATCCCACATATAAAGTAGAGGAAGATGGGCATGGATGTTGGCTTGGGGCCAGTCTTCCTCAGCAAAAAGAGGAGGATTGACAGCAGATGTTAGCTCAGGGCTAATCTTCCTCAAAAAAAAAAAAAGGAAGTATAATTCCCTAAGTGGATAAGTGGGAATCCTGGTGAGTAGTGACACTGACACTTTTATCTCCAAAACCCACGTGTTCTGTCTTTTTGGAACACAGCACCATAGAATGGGTATTGGTTTAAGATGTACACTCCATCTTGAAGAATAGAACCCATTCTCATAGGCGATCAGTTCCAGGCTGACACCTTAGCTGTGCCTTCATGAGGCTCTTCCACTATTCTGTCAGGCCGTTAGCTTTCTGGATGGTGTGGTATGTGGTACAGTGACTGAATCCCATGGTCATATGTGAACTACCATACCTCCTTTGCCATAAAGTAGATCTCTTGGGCTGAAGTGATATGATGTGGAATTCCACATCCGTTGACCAGGCACTCTGATCCCTTGTTTAGTAGTGCGGGCTGAAGCACGTTGGGCAGGAAAAAGTCAGAATATGAGTCAGTCCTAGTCAGGATGAAATGTTACCCTCTTCAGAATGGAAAGGATCTGATGTTATCAAATTGCCACTAAGTAGATGATTGGTTTCCTCAAGGGATGATTCCATACCCGGAGCTCAAGATTGGTCTCTGTTGCTGCCAGGTCAGATGTTTGGTGATGCCAGTAGCTAGATGCATATTGGTGAGGGAGAGCCCGTGCTGTCTGGCCTATTCTTGGCCTTCATCTCTGCCAACATAGCCATTCTGTCCATGAGCCCATTGTCCAGGCACTAGGTGGCCAAGACAGAGGCTGGCTGACATCTACTGGCGAAATCATCCTTTCTACTTGGTTGTTTGGTGCCTCTTCTGCTGTGGACATTCTCTGGTGGCCATTAACATGTGATGAAAAGAACTTCATACTTAGTGCCTACTCCTATAGGTCCATTCACATACCTCTTCTGCAGACCTCCTTGTCTCCAATCTTCCAATCTTGCTATCCTGCTTTTTCTAGGCCCTGACCAACAAGCTAAGCCACTTGCCACTGCCCAGAGAATACAGGATGATCTGAGGGTTCAGCGTTCTCAAGTGAATCTATCTAGATATCCCCACCCCAGACTCAGCACCCTTTCTCTTCCCTATCAGAGCTCTGACTTTGACATAGAATATATTCAGCCTTCTGTGAAGTTTTACTAATCTTACATTTAAGTCCTCTGCTTGGTTTCTAGCTCTCTCTGCCCCTGAGCCATAGGAAATGAGAGTTTCTTTAAAGCTCCTAAGGAGGTTCTCTGACCTTATCACTTTGTTTTAAATTACTGATTAATGGATTTGAGCCTGTTATTTTCCCTCTTCAACTATCAGTGGAGCTTAGCAACAGCCACCTCAATTCCATAGTGCTTATAATTATTATTTCTCCGTACTTCTCAAACACCAGCAACATTGCACCAGCTAGTGCATTAGCCTGTGACAATTCAAGTTCCCCAAGAAGCAGATACCAAGATAGGATTAGATGTACAAGAGAATTATTGGAGGAAACACTTGTGAATGATAAAGGGAAGGGAGCAGAGAAGGCAGAGAAAGCCTTTAGGCTCTAATGCAAGTCTGACATCTGTAAAGGGAGAAGGAGAAGGAAGGAGGATTGGACAGGAAGACCTCAGACTACAGCACAGTTTTCAGAAAGTTTTGGTTGGGATGATGGGAGTTCCTGACACAGTCGCCAATTAAGGGAGTCCTCTTTCAGGCAGGAATGGGCTAGCACTAGTACTACTGCCATGCTCGGTCATTGGCTGGGAACAGCCCAGGGGAAGCATGGCCTTGGAGCAAACATGATTGAGCCAGAGAGGCAGCACTTATGGCTGTCAGTCAACTCTGTTCCTCTCAGCAGGCTCTCTTGAAGGAGATCTGAGCAGTCCATTTTCATAGCCACCACAATCCCCTCCCACTTATATTGTGCCCCAGTTCACCACAAATCTTAGCAATTGCATTGCTAAAACATGCCTCAGACTAACAATACTCTTAAGTGCCACCAGTGGTGAAGCCCTCAGTTCAGTCATCCAGTAAGTGACCCCACTCTAGAAGTCCATCCTTATAGTTTGGTCAGATTCTCTAGAAGCAGAACCTGAAACAAGAATTCTTATTCCTCCTCACATGGTTAATTCAGGCAGTGCTCTTAGGAGAAAGGAAGTGAAGGAAGCAGATGAAGCAGCGGGGAAATGGATTCAGTTGGAGTCCAGTTTCAGTCTGATCCCATGAGGATCTCTGGAGTACAAATTGCATCACCGAGTTACTCTCATCTTCAGACAAGAGGGCTACCCTTCTGCACCCCTGTGTCAGTCAGTCATTTGCTATGGACATTCTCAGTACCACCCAGAAGGTGGTGTGATACAGTTTGTGTTTAGCCCACAGCACACTTTGAAGAAAGGGCAACTGTAAGCCATTAATAGCCTATTCTCATAACAGCAGAGGGGATGAGTATATTGGCTCAGTAAGTAGATCAGGGCAGAGGACCCACGATATTGCCTGCAAATATCCTGAGATTATGTTATTCATCCATACAAATTTAGTATTATTATCTTACTGTTAAATTAGCCCTTTGATAATTATGAAATGTCCTTTTTTATTTTTTTGAGGAAGATTAGCCCTGAGCTAACTGCTGCCAATCCTCCTCATTTTGCTGAGGAAGACTGGCCCTGAGCTAACATCCACGCCCATCTTCCTCTACTTTTTTTATATGTGGGATGCCTACCACAGGATGGCTTGCCAAGTGGTGCCATGTCCACACCCAGGATCCGAACCAGCGAACCCCAAGCCACTGAAGCGGAACGTGTGAATTTAACCACTGCACCACTGGGCCGGCCCCTGAAATGTCCTTTTTAATCTCTAGTAATATCTCTTGCCTTAAAATATACTTATCTATTATTAATACAGCCACACAGCTTTCTTTTAGTTAATGTTTAAATGACGTATATCTTTTGCATCCTTTCAACCTTTCTCCATCCTTATATTTATTGTGTATATCTTGTAAGAAACATATAGTTAGGCTTTATATTTTTATACAGTGTGGTAGTCTTTGTCTTTTAATTGAAGTATTTAATCCATTTATACTTAACGTAATTACTGATTTTTCAAAGTTTTCTATTTGTCCCATCTGTTCTTCATTCCTTTTTTCTCCTTTCTTCCCTTTTCTTGTATTAGTCAAGTATTTTTGTCTTCCATGTGTTTCTTCCTTTTAGCTTACTGGTTATAGCTTCTTTTTGTTATCCCTGTTAGTTTTTTAGTGCTTATGCCAGAGATTACAACATGCACCTGTGACTGATTACAGTCTTCCCTAAATTTTTCATTTTGCTCTATCCTGGGCAATGCAAGAACCTTACAACACTTTAGCTCCATTTACCACCTCCTCATATTTTGTGCTATTGTGGATATATATATTTTAAATTCTGTATATGACTTAAATTCCACATATTATTATATTTAGTGTTATTCTAGATTTATCTATATATTTACTCTTTTCATGCCTCTTCTTTCCTTCCTGCACCATCATTATTCTATTGGGATCATTTTTCTTCTGTAAAATGAGCTCATTTTCAGTATTTCATTTAGTGTAGGTCTGCTGGTGATAAATCCTTTCGGTTTTTGTTTTTCTTGAAATATCTTTACTCCACCTTCATTTTGAAGCACATTTTCACTGAATATAAAATTTTTGGTTGGCAGCTATTTTCTTTCAGTACTTCAAAGATTTAGTTCCATTGTCCTCTGGCTTCCATTATTTCTTTTGTAAATCTTGTTGTTTTCTAAGGTAGTGTGTTATTCCCTGGTTGCTTTTAAGATTCTCTTTCTGTCTTTGGCTTCTCAGCAGTTTTACTATGATTTTCCTAAGTGTGATTTTCTTTTTTGTTTATCTGGCTTGGAGTCTGTAAAGCTTCTCAAATTTGTGGCTTAATGTCTTTTGTCAGTTTTTGGAACGTTCTCAGCCAATATTTCTTTGAATATATTATTGTCTCATTCTTTCCTCCCTTACTTGAACTACTGTTACAGTTAGATGTATGTTAAACTTTTTCACCATTTACCATGTTTCTTATGGGTTTTGTGTTTTGCTCTTTTAACTTTTTTGGTTTTTTCATTTTCCTTTTTTTGTCCTTACTGTGATTTAATCTGGATTTTTTTTCGTCCGTGCAATCTTCCAGTTCATTAATCCTCCTTTTTTGTTGTGTCTAGTCTGCTATATAATCCATGTATTGACTTCTCAATATCAGTTATTATGTTTCTCAGTTCTAGACTTTCCATTTGATTCTATTTTATAGATTTCAGTTATTTATAACATTCTCCAACTTTTCGTTTATTTTCTTGAATATATTAATCACAGCTATTTTAAATGTCCTGTCTGATAATATTCATCTGAGTGTCTATTTCTCTTGTCTATATTTTTTCTCCTGATTTTCAGACATTTGTTCCCATTACTTTGCCTACCTAGTAATTTTTTATTGAATGTCAGGCTCTGGATGTATTTGTCTTCCTTGAAAGAGCATTTGGATTTTTTTTCTTGTAGATTACCTTGATCCAGTTTTGTTAGAGCTGGCACTTTTCCAATCTTCTTTTACTCCTAAGATGCAGCCCTTATTACTGTGGCAGAAACATTACTCCTGGAAAGTAATCATTCCTAGGGCCTAACTCTTCCTCCTAGGATATGGCCCTTACTCCTAAGGAGTAGCCCTTCTGAGGTTTTAGATGATAGTCTGGGGCATTTACCAAGGCCCCTAAAGTTTGACAAGTTTTGAATTCCTACGTCTATCTATCTCCCTGGCACTATGAGACTGCTGAAATCTTTGCTCAGCTCTTTAGCAACCTGTCTGCTGATTTCCACTTATCTTTTGGGAATTTTACCCTGCTTCTACACAGCTTAGGATTTACTAGTGCCTAAAGAGGAAATTGCATACAAACTTTGGGCTAATACTCTTTAGTCCCCTCTATTTCTTTCTTAGGAATCCCAATGTTGTTGGCAGCCCTAAATTCCAACTCTGCTTCCATTCCCTCTCTCCTTGTCTTTCTTTCCATTTGGTTCTTCCATCCTCTTTTAAACCCTCTCCAATCAGGTTTTCATGCCTACATTCCACTGAAATTTCCCTTGTCAATGTCACCAATACATTCATGTTGCTAAATCCAATAGTCAATTCTTAGTCCTTTTCCTCCTTGACCTGTTAGCAGTATTTGACATAGTTGATCACTCCCTCTTCCTGTAAAATTTTTGTTTACTTGTTTTCCTGGGGTTTTTTTTCCCTTATTAACACTCCTGTTCCCACTCCATGGCTGATTTCTTCTCATTTCTCCAAGGTCTAAATGTTGGAGTTTTCTAGGCTTAACCTTTGGATCTCTTCTCTACCCTCACTCTTTTGATGATCTTATCCTGTCTCATGGCTTTAAAGACCTTCTATATGCAGACAACTCATGAATTTATATCTCCAGCCTAGATTTCTTCTCAGATTCCAATCTTGTACATATAACATCTTGACCTCTTTATTGGATATCTGCTAGACATTTGAGATTTTTTTCCTGAGGAAGATTAGCCTTGAACTAACACCCGTGCCAATCTTCTTCCACTGTATATGTGGGTTGCCACCATGGCATGGCTGATGAGTGGTGTAGGTCTGCACTTGGGATCTGAACCTGTGAACCCAGGCTGCCAAAGCAGAGCATGCTGAACTTAACCACTATGCCGTGGAACCAGCCCCATTTCAGATTTTTAGCATGTCCAAAACTAAGCTTCTGATCCGTACTACTCCCTCAAACCTGGTCTTCTCAAGTCTTCTTCATTTCAAAAAATGGCAACTCCATCCTCTCAGTTCTTCAGGCCAGAAACTTTGGAGTCATTTTTTACCCCTCACTTTCCCTCACACCCTACATCTAATCTGTCATGATTTCTTATTTGATCTATCTTCAAAATGTATACAGAACTCCTCACTACCTCTGCCGTCACCACTGGGTTCACACTACCATCGTCTCTATCTTGAATTATTGTAATAGTCTTCTACTGACTTCCCTGCCCTGACCATTGCCCCTCTATAGTTTGATCTCTGCACAGATGTTCGAGTGATCATTGAAAAATTCCTTTATTCTGAACCTTCCAGCAAGCATCCCATCTCATTTAAAATAAGTCCAAGCTCTTTCATTGGCCTAAAAATAAGGTAACGGTATAATTTATATGTAATTTATCATCTAAACTAGGATACTTGAAAATGCAAGGACAATAGACATAAACTGTGACTATGCCAGCAAACTAGCTGTGTTCTGTATGATTCCTCCCCCACTCCTACCTCATTCTTAGTTCATTTTTAGCTCTACCAATCTCCTAGCTGTTTCTGGAAAAGGCCAGGTGTGCTCCTGCCTCGTGACTTTTGCACTTGCTGTTCCCCAGGTGTCTGTGTGGCTTGCTCGCTCACTTCCTGCGGTGCTTTGCTCAGGTGTCATCTTCTCAAGAAGACCTTTTCTAACCAGCCTGTTACTTAAGATTCCAACCCCACTCTCACCTCACACTATATGTATTTTACTTGTTTACATATTGTTTATTTACTCTCACTAGAAGTAAGCTCTTTGAGGGAGGGATTTTTTTTTTTTACACTCAACATCACCAAATAATTTAAGAACATTTGACAGTTGTGAAATTTATATTTATTCTGATACTTCCCATCAGCAGTACAACTAATCTAGAGCAAATTACCAGGTAAATTTTAAATTATTTCTTCAGGACTGGGTTTTGTCAAAGACTTCAAATTTGAGAGATCTTCAAATTTGAAGTTAGGGAACGTGTTCATGTCTGCTTTACCGTACATTTGCTTAAGCTTAAAAAGCTCCCTCTCCAGATCTTGCTGATACTCTGGGCCAACATCAACAGGTGAGGGAGGGGATTTTTTTCCCCTATTTTGTTCACTGCTGTATATTTTGTGCCTGTAGCTGTGCTTGGCACATTTATGTATATAATAAATTTTAGATAAGTGAGTGAACACAAGTGCAATTGATCACCTGAGAATTAATTCATTCACCAAACATTTATTGAGTACATCCTATGTTTTTGACTCTGTGCTCAGTACATAACATTATTCTAAAGTCTAAGATTAGATATGTACCTGAAGATACCATAGTAAAATTTAGTGTAAGTTTATAACATATAAAGGTATGTAATTATTGTTGAAGTCAATAAAGATTGTCCTTTAGGATTTTAAACTGATTTATTTTATTTACAACTTTATTGTTACATATTAAATCTGGATACTTCTTATGGAATCATTGAGGTTTTGACACCCATTTTCTGGACCCCTCCCCCCCTTTTTTTTTTTTAAGATTTTATTTTTTTCCTCTTTCTCCCCAAAGCCCCCCGGTACATAATTGTATATTCTTAGCTGTGGGTCCTTCTATTTGTGGCATGTGGGATGCCACCTCAGCATGGCTTGATGAGTGGTGACATGTCTGTGCCCAGGATTCAAACCAGCAAAAACCCTGGGCCGCCGCAGCGGTGCGCACAAACTTAACCACTTGGCCACAGGGTTGGGCCACTGGACTCCATTTTTTACACCTATTTTTTATCTTTACTTTTAGCAAGCTATTGAGGAAAAAAAGGGTATATCTGGATATAGTTACACCCAAGAAGAGCTAGAAAGAGTATCCGCATTGAAGAGTGAAATCGATGAAATGAAAGGACAAACACTGGATGACATGTCTGAAATGGTGATTACATATTTTTTCTTAGTTTTGTTTATTGTGTAGCTAAGAGGCAAATGCTTTTGTGTTTGTTCTGTTTCCAGTGAAACATTCAAATTTTCATTTCTGCAAATTGTTTACTTTATATTCTTTCATCTATCTTTATCAACATCTTTTGAATTTTTCCATTTAGTAAGATTATTCAACTTGTAATCGTTTATGCATTTTGTGGTTTTCGAAGTGTGTAAAAGTTATATAAAATTAAAGAAATACTTAAGATAAAAAGTAAGTTTTCCCAAATCATATCACTCTAACTAATAAAATTACTTCATTTTTGTGTACATCCTTAGTATCTTACCATATTCAGGACTGCTTTTCAGCCAGAATGCACTGATCCAGCTTCATTAGGCATTAAAATGTTGAAATCTTTCCTTACTTTTTCGTAAATAGCTGCTGCCCCAAACTCTCAGAGTACCCATCTCCACCTGTCGTGTCCACATTGGCCCAGAACCTTCTGGATCTCACCACAATCTAACTCCTAGAAAAATTAACATTTAGCACAGCAGAGGCCTCCAAGACCCTTTTCATCTCTATAGCTGGTGTCCATTCATCTCTATGGCTGGGTCATTACTTATGCCATTTGGATTATTAAGTGTTTTGACTATCACTTCATCCATTTTATATGATCTACATAATTTTTTATATAATACAACATGATTGTAGTTGTATGCAGGCAACTTTGTAATTTGTTTTAGTCATTCAGTGTTAGATTATATTTTCCCATAATGGTTTGCAATATTAATAATTGACATTCTGAATAGCTAAGTGTATTCCATCTTACTGAGGAATCAAGATTTACTAAATCACTTCCCCAATGTTTGACTGAAGTAATTTATAGTTTTTTTACTCTCATGTGTAGCATTTCAATAAATGTCTTTATGCATATAGTACTTTTGTTCTTTTGAATTCTTTTTTTAAATTTCATTTATTTTGTTTAAATGATAGGTAAAAAAACTGAATTCACTGGTATCTGAAAAGAAGTCAGCTCTAGCCCCAGTTATAAAAGAACTACGACAGTTGCGTCAGAAATGTCAAGTAAGTAAATTTGATTTTGTGATACTTCTGGTATTCTATCTTGTTCATTTGTACTAGTTATAATCCTGAATATTTTACTTGGACAATTTTAAAAAATTATTATTATTATATTGACGTGATTCTGCAAAAGACAGTAGTAATGTGACCTACAAAGGTTTTTGTTTGATTTATGCTATTTGTGTTGTCATAAATTATTGGGGAGAGGAGAGAAGGAGAAGACAGAGTTTAAGCTGGAATCACAAGTGCAGCCAGATGAGATTTTTTTGCTTTAAATCTATGCATGTCAGAGCTATAAATGTGAAGTCACATTCTTCGGTGGCCAGGTAAAAGCTCAGAGTCTCCCAATGAGTGGTGACAAATTAACTTTAGATTAATGAATTTGCTTTGCTGGTGAGCAGGGTGGGGGGCAAACTCTGATATCTTATGATAAGTGATGAAATACCATCACTTGGGAGCTAATTCTAACCACTACTTTAAAGTTAAACTGTTAGAAGGTAAATGCCCTCCACAAATACAGATCAGGTGGCCTCTGCGATTTGACGTTAGAAGTTGTTATTTTATCACTCTCCATGTAGTAATTTTAGGTTTGAATGTGAGCTGTACTGCATGTGCCTGAGGTTGGAACTATAAAATTCTTCTGAATGCCATCCATCAGAGTCAGAGAAGCAGAGTGAAAAACCATATGAACTTTGAAATCAGATAAATATCATTTCCTTTTTATAGAAAATGCCATGGAGTCTGAGACAGGTTTAGTGACTCATCCAAATAGACAAGCAGGAAATCAGAGAGTTGGGGCTTGACTCTAGCATCTATATCATCTTATTTCAAATCTCCTGCCTGTTCCATTACACACCACTGCGATCACAAAGAAATGGAAGAGACAAGTCGTTGTTCTCTGAAGTTCATACTGTAATAGGTCAGACGGGATACACACATGAAGAGATTCAAGAAAAACTAAGATAACCCAACTTAAGAACAATGTAGAAAAAACTATAATCATAACCACATACTTAAATCATGAGGAAAGAAGACGCAAATGAAGAGATTGTTAGGAAGGAAAGGTTTCAGAAAGGAGATTTTTAAGCAAGGTTTTCAGACTGAGGACATCAAGAATTGTTTTTGTGAATACTTTCTAATTCATTGATTTTCTTAATGCTTTTCTTAAGTAAACAACTTGCAGACAAAAGGGACTGGTCTATCTAGTGATGAAAAATTTTTCCCTAATAGTAAGCTAATAAATCTGTTTGTATTTAGTTCTTTTATTAAATCCATTTACATTTTAAATGAGTTTTATTGAAAGGATATTTTGGACAATAAAGGAAATGTTCTGTCATGGAAATCCAAGACCAGAACCATAGTCTACTGTAAGCAGAGAGCATTTTGGTTCAGGGAAGCTTCAGGAAGCTTAGCATCAGGAGCTTATGGATCATGATGATGAATGTGATAGTAACAACATTTATTAAGTGATTCCTATGTACCAGGCACTATTACATTACTCAATTAAGGCTCACAACCACCCAATAAGATAGGGACTGCTCTTTACACAAATAAGCAAATAAAGGCACAGAGAGGTAAGGTACTTGCCCAAGGTTACACAGCCAGTAAATGGCAGAGCCCAGTTCTTTATACTAAATACTATATCAATAACGTGATTCAGTGAATCTCTTTGTATTGACTTCTCACTCTCTTCCTGCCACCAGCCAGGTTTTTCACCCCTGTTCTTTCCTTCTGTCCTCTGTCTTATAGTTTCTCCTTACTCTTTGGATTAGCATCCTCATAACCTCGGCTTGCTTATGGCTCCTCATTGTTCATGTCTCACGTTATGGCCTTTATATATACTTTGTGTTGAATTTTTCACTACCAACTGCCCTATTTTCTCTGCATTTTCTAATTCAAATTCCTGGTGCATCTCCTCTCTTTTTTGGGCAGTTCTTCATGCCAGACTACCTCAGAGACTATTGGCTATCCTCAGGTCAGGTCAGGGGTCCATCGTTAGTTCAACCAGCTATGCTGGTAGGTAAGGGTGGGAAGAAAGGAGAGTGAATATGGTACCAAGTATGGCCGCCTAGAGAATTTTTCCCTCTGCAAAGGCTATGGGTATATCAGGTATTTCAATTGACATTTTTAGTACACCACCCATTATCCTATTACTAACAGCTGAACAGCATTCATCTTTGCATTTTATCCTTATCCTTTCATTTATACTTTTTTACATGGTTGCAATTGTAGTATCCATTGCATTTATAGTCACGCATCGCTTAATGACGGAGCTACGTTCTGAGAAATGTGTTGTTAGGCTATTTCGTTGTTGTGCAAACATCGTAGAGTGTGCTTACACAAAGGTAGATGGTATAGTGTTTAATGGGTATGAGTTTCAGTTTCAGTCTTCAGCTTTCAAGCTGAAGAGTTCTGGAGATGGCTGGTGTTGATAGTTGCACAACAAGGTAAATGTGCTTAATGCCCCTGAACTGTACACTTGAAAATGGTTTGTCTTAATTTTTGTTTTATGTCTATTTTGCCATAATAAAAAGAATCTTAAAAAACAGTTCAGGGCTTGCCTACATTTGCATTAACTGGTTCTGAGTTCAATGCAGTTGGTGAGTACCTGATACTCATTTTGCTTATCTCCATATGCCAATCTCCTACATTCCTGTATAGTTTTATTTTTACCCAGAAACCTTTTGTAATAAAAAGTATACTGGAAAAAAAAGCCACTTCGTTGACTTTAAGCTGTTTCCAAATATTAACTGAAATTCTTAATTGTTCTCTACTTTGAATATTATTTTTTTAACTTAAGTATATTTAATACTCAAAACTACATACATGTATTATCATATTGTTAAAGTGCAGCAGTACTTAAAAAGACTTTATGCTTCTTGCTTTAATGAGTAACTCTCAAATATTTAGAAATTTTATAGTGAAGTGCTAGTACGTTTCCTTTCTATTGTATTTGCGCTGTTCTAAATTTGAATATTAACAACTATTTTAAAATTAAAGACTCACAACTCGAGATGTGTAACTTATATTTATCTAAATCTTTTGTAATTATCTAAAATTAGAATAGCATCTTGAAAAGTTTCATGTTTATCATCCTAGGAGCAGTTCTGTAAATTGTGTGTAATTAAATGGCATAATACATATAATTGCTAATATATGGGGAAAGGCTAAAATACTCATTTTGGAGTATACAATCTGATAATTATTGATTTCACTGAAATATTTCTTATTCATTACTTTTTCTCATAAAATTAAAATCATGCTCTTAGCAAGAATTCAAACTGTAAAGAATTGTTTAAGGGAAAGAATAGAAATTATTTGTCTCTGCACACCCCCAGCACACTCCCCAGAGGTAATAACTATTAAGAGTTCCTTATGTATTTTCTAGAAATTTTCTGAGAATTAATGAATGGATAATTATTTATTGGCTACCTAAAGTTTGTTCTCCACATCTTTGTTCTACTCTGAAAAAACAGGCTTTCTTTAATTTTTGGTCAGAATTCAACTCTGATACTAAGATCAAAATGCTTCCTTTTGTTTGCATTTGCCTGCTATGCTTTTGCCCATCCTTTGCTTTCAAATTTTTAAAAATTACCTTCTTTTACATGTGTCTCTGAATAGATCTTGAATTGGGTTTTGTTATGTGATACCATCTGAAAAGTTTGTTTTAATAGATAAGTTGAGCCCATTTATATTTATTCATATGCAGACATATTTGGTCTTAGTGCATTTTATGTTTTGCTTTCGATTTTAAAGCCTGTAAAAAATCCTCTGTTCTTCTCTGCACATGTGTGTGTGTTTTGGAGCTTGTGGTTTTGCTCTAGCGGTTATATTTGTAACTCCAACATTAACCATCCATTTCTGTAGATAGTATCTATTAATCCCCACTGTGAGCAGTGATAAAAGTAGCATATTTCCTCTGACTTCTCGCCCCCTTCCCGCTCCTTTAGCACCTGATTTTAGTCAATTGTATTGTCTTTCTTTCTGCTTGCCTTTATACTTTGAATTTGCTTTTACTATGACTTGATTCGTCAGCTTTAGATTATATCCTTTGACGTTCCCCCACCCATTCCTAGCAATTAAAAATTGAAGAAACCAGCTTACTTATTCTACCTTCCACCTTCTTTTCTCCTTCCCCTCCCTGCAGGTCCTCTTGTATCACTTCTACGTTGTCAGGGCATGTAACATTTACCTTCTGTTTTGTTGCCCTAGTTCCCACTTTTGTTTTAGTGGTAGGCTTGTAATTATTAGATTCAATGCTCATTACCAATCCTTTCACTGCCCTTTTTCCTACCTTTTTTATTGTCTGTGATTTGTCCTATAGTAGAGTTCTCAAAAAAGGCTAGGAACAATATTCTCCGAGTTCTTGCACGTTGTAAAGTTTGTTGCCTTAAGTATTTCAACAACAGCTTGACTGAGCATAAAATTCTTACCTCATGCTTTCTTTCCTTGAGAATTTTTTTTTTCAAGATTGGCTCCTGAGCTAACATCTGTTGCCAATCTTTTTTTTTTTTTTCCTTCTTCTTCTCCCCAATGCCCCCCAGTACATAGTTGTATATTCTTGTTGTAGATCCTTCTGGTTGTGCTATGTGGGATGTCTCCCCAGCATGGCTTGATGAGTGGTGCTAGGTCCACACCCAGGATCCGAACCAGCAAAACCCTGGGCCACTGAAGTGGAGTGCATGAACTTAACCACTCTGCCATGGGGCCAGGTCTCCTTGAGAATTTTTAAAGTACAGCTCCACAGTCTTCCAGGGTTAAGTGTGGTCATGGAGAGATCTGAGGCCAACCTAATTTTTTTAGTAACTTGATCTGGAAGAGAATGTGTGTTTTCCAGTTCTTGAGTACTGGGTTCTCCATGTGTTCATGAGATCAAGCTGCTTAAATGTGTTGTTCAAAACTTCCTGGTAAATGGAGGAGTTATCGTGTAATGGGTACAGAGTTTCAGTTTTGCAAGATGAAAAGAGTTCTGGAGATTGGTTGTATAGCAATGTGAATGTACTTAACACTACTGAACTTTACGCTTAAAAATGGTTAAAATGGTAAATTTTATGTTATGTGTATTTTACCACAATTTTTACAAGATTCCTGGTTTAAAAAACAAAATTCCCTTGTAAATTATTTGTTTATCATTATTTTTTGACTCTTTTAAAAAATTCTTGGTAACATTTTTTTGTCTAGGGGTCTTATCCTGTCTGCTATTAACGTAGGTATACCAGCTTTCTTGTGATTAGTATTGCTTGGTATATCTTTTTATTTCTGTTGCTTTCAGCTTTCTGTATCCTTATTTCTGTCGTGTATACATATGTCTCATAAATAGTATGTAGCTGGACTTTGTGTTAAGTATAGTTTCTTACACCTAGTTTGAGAATCTGTCTTTTAATTGGTGAGATTAGTCTCATTACATTTACTCTTATTATTGGAATTTATTTCTATTTTGTATATCCTATTTACTATGCTTTTTCTTGGCTGTTTTTCTTCTTTCCTACCTCCATTACACCAATTCTCTTTTCTTTTATCTTCTTTTTTCCCTTTATTTCCTTTTCAATCTTTTTCTATTCTGATATTGTTTACTCTTAAATTTTTAACATATTTTCCTGAATTAACAAAGTCTAAAGTTAGTCAGCATCTCCTGAACAATACAGGGGCCTTAGAATATTTTAACACTGTCTCCTGCCTTACATGTGTGATTTTTATGCTCTGGTATTTTATTTCCACTTTCTTTCTTTCTTTTTTTTTTTAATTGTTTTTGAAGGTTGGCACCTGAGCTAACTAACATCTGTTGCCAATCTTTTTTTTTTCTTTTCTTCTTCTTCTCCCCAAAGCCCCCAGTACATAGTTGTACATTCTAGTTGTAGGTCCTTCTGGTCGTGCTATGTGGGACACCACCTCAGCATGGCCTGATGAGTGGTGCCATGTCTGCACCCGGGATCCAAACCAGTAAAACCCAGGGCTGCCAAAGCGGAGTGCGCAAACTCAACCCCTCAGCCATGGGGCTGGCCCCTCCACTTTATTTCTTTATCTCTAAAAGTAGTTGTTATGGTGGTCATTACTGTTATAATTACTACATTATACAGTCATTTCCTGTTTGGATTTATCCACATATTTAGCAATTCTAAGCATTGCTTCTTGTCTTTTAATCCTTCCTTCTAGATTCAGTTTCCTTCTTCCTGAAATTAAATGTCTGTGTTTTGTTTTATTTTAGTATATCTCTCAGTAAAGAATTATTATGATAAGTAAACCATCTTTTCTTTTCTTCTTGAATAATGGTTTGGTCAGAAAAAAATTATTTTCATTGCTTTCTAGTTTCTCTTGTGTTGAAGGGTCTGCTATCAGTTAATTATCATTTCTTTTTAGGTAATATCTCCCCTAGATAGTCATGGGCTACATAAGGACATTTCGGACGATGACACACCACACATACAATGGTGGTCTCATAAGATTAGTACCATATATCCTAGATGTATAGTAGGCTATACGATCTAGGTTTGTCTAAGTACACTCTATGGTATTCGCACAACAGCAAAATCACCTAACAACACATTCTCAGAACATATACCTCCTTGTTAACTGACCATGACTGTAATTGATTTTAATATTTTTATCTTTGTCTTTGGTGTTGTCTAGTTTTACTACTGTGTTCTAAGCATGAATTTAGTTTTATTTGCTCTGCTGGAATTTGTGCTTTTTGTCTTTCATTAATTCTGGAAAAATTCTACATAATATCTTCAAATATTCTCTCCCATTTTTTTTCTAGCCTGTTCTCTAGCAACTCCTATTAGATATATGTTAGACATATTTATTCTCTTCCCTATTGCATAACCTCACTTTCATATTTTCATGTTTTTTCTGTCTGTGATGAATTTTAAATAATTTCTTCATCTCTATTTGCTAGTTCATTCTTTTATCTCCTGAGCTGTGTCTAATCTTACTGCCGTCTACTCATTTTTCAATTTCAGTGACTGTTTTTTTTTTTCATTTTTGTGTGTTTTTACTCACTGCACCTTTTTTTTTAATCTTTTGTTTTCAGTTCTTCCTTCATCACTTTAAGTATTTTAAGCATACTTATTCAGTAGGCTTATTTCTAGTATCCAAAGTTCCTGGAGGTATAGTCTTACTGTTTTTTATATCTTCCGGTTCTCACTCAATGGATCAATCATTTCCTCATCTCTTTATACTTTGGGATTGTGAGCTTCTCTTTAGTACAGTGTTGTCTCTTCTGTCCTGGTAGCTAGGATGGAGAGTGTGTCCCTTTAGAGTGGTTTTGCAGTTGTTCTGCCAGGTGTTTTAGGAATACCACAAGCTTGGAGCTAATTTTGAGTTAATGTCTCAGCTTGGGAGTTCTTCCACCATTTAGTAAGATAAATTCAAACCCAGACCTGCCTGGGGACAGGCTCCCTTTTCCCATCTGCCTCTGCAGCAGCATGGCTACATTTACTAATCAGTTTGGCCATCAGACTTACAGACCAAAAAAAGGCTTTCATCTACTCTAATGCCTTCATCTCACTGAGAGGCCCAGCAGCTACCTAAGTATACAGCCTCTGTTGCCCCTTCTCCCACTTAGGGAGTGTATCACTGTCACCCATGGGAGCCTTAGGTGTCTATAGGTCATTTTGATACTTAAAAGCCACAGCTCCTTTTTCCCACCAATCTTTTATACTGTGCTTGTCACCCCAAACCAGATGCAGTCTCACACAACGAAGGAAGCACACACAACATTACCCATTTATGTTAACTCTCAAGTTCCCGAGAAAATGGTGCTATGTGAAACCAAGGTCCTTCTGAGGCTGGCCTACATCAGTCCAGGCCTGGTGTTAACCCTTTGCTCGCAGGTTCCCAAGTTAAAAAACAGCTTGGATTCTGTGGGGTTCTCACTTCTAATTTCCCACTCTGCCTTTTGTCCTGCCTGGACATTATAATCATTCTGTCACCAAGATTGACTGTTCCCGACTCCCTTCACCAAAGGGTAGCCACAGGGGGTCATCCTTTGTTTCTGATCCATAATACCTCTTACTTCCTTGAGAATTCAGGTTAGCTCTGGATTGGAAAGGATGTTTGGTCCACCTTATCAGGCGTTTGAAGATACTTGTAGCATTTCTAGGTATTTGTAGTTGAAGATTTTCAGATTACTTAATTCAAAATGTTATGTTAGAAGAAAGTTTGAAACTACTCAAACAGCCTGAATTAAAATTCTGACACCCTTTTCCATCAGTGTATTTTTGGTGAGGTACCTGGCCTCCCTGAACTTTGTCCAAGCATGATATGAGGATATTAACACATACCTCAGGGGGTTGTCATGAGATTTAGTTACTGTCAAGAGGAAAGCTCAGACACCCTAACATGGTTTACAGAGTTCTGATCAGGACCCTTCCGAAGTCTTCAGCCTCTTCTCATACTTCCCAGACACACTTCAGCATAATAAACTACTTGTACGTCCTAAATTGTTCTTCTTCTCTCCAGCTTCCAGCCTTTATACATAGTGTTCCTTTTTTCTGAACATTCTCCTCCCCTGTCCACCTTCCCCCTGGCTATTCTTACTAATCCTTCGTACCTCAACTGAGATATCAGTTTCTCCAGGAAGTTGTCCCCGCTGATCCCCAAGCCTGGGTTAGGTCCGGTGAAAGTCCCATGTGCTCCCATAACACTTGTATTTTCCCATGATAGCATTCTGCAGCCTGTTTACTTGTCTGAACATTACTTGAGGAGAAGGGTTTTTGGCTGTTTTGTTCACTCTTGTATCCCTAGCTCCTAATAAAGAGCCTGGCACACAGCTCATTACATGGTAGCTATTATTTTTATCAGCACCTTCATCTGTCATAATTCTCAAATGTCTGATTGTTGTATAAATAACTCTTAAGTATGGCAGGAAGCTTAGAGTTAAGTTACAAGACTGACAAGGGCATGCATTGTTTCAGAGCCACATTTTAGACCTTTGTTTTTCACTTATTCAATCATTTACCCTTTTCATATTAGGAACTAACCCAGGAGTGTGATGAAAAGAAATCCCAGTATGATAGCTGTGCAGCAGGCCTCGAAAGCAATCGGTCCAAATTAGAACAGGTAAGAAGACAGTTTTTATTTTAATAATTTAGCAGAAACTGCCTGTGTGTGTGCATATTTTCACTACACCGATGTCAAAAGATTCCCAAATCTTTACCCTCATCTTCTGAGTCTGCCTCCTAAGCTCCAGAGATCTTTATTTCTTCACACTGGATGTGTACACACCGAATTCTCCATTTGTACCACTACTGCAAAGTCCAGGCCGGCATCATGTCTTTCCTAGACTCCCACAGTTACCACCACATGCTTCCCACCTCTACTTTTGCTATCCTAAGGTTTTTTCCTCCATAGAGCAGACAAAGAAATCTGTATAAAACTTAGGCGACCCTTCATTGGCTTCCCGTTCCTCTTAAAATCAACTTCCAAACTGTGGTGTACAAGGCCCCACCTGCCTTATGAGCTTCACATCCATGTGCTCCACTCCTCATCCATGGGGCTCCAGCCACACTGCCTTCTTCTTGTACTTCAAACAGGCCAAGCTTGTTTCACCTCAGGGCTTTTGTTTGTGCCCTTCTCTCTCTGGGACACTCTGCCCCCATCTCTTTGCCTTGATCTCTCCTTTTCATCTTTCAGATCTCAGCCTAAATGTCACCTCTTCCTAGAAGTCTTCTCTGATCACCCTATCTAATGTTGCCCATGCAGTCACCCCATCACACTCTACTGCTGAATTTTCTTCATAGTCCTTATTCCCGTCTGAAACTATCTTCATTATGTGTTTCCTTGTTTATGTCTGTTTTCTCTACTTGAATGAGAGTGGAGACTTGTCTCTTATTCACTGCTGTGTCCCCAGCACCTAGCACAGAGCTGGGCACACAATGGGTACTTAATAAATCAATAACTGAACCTGTAGGTTTTAGAATGGTATGAGCGTTCTCTAGAAAAGATTGCAGCCTAGGCTATTATAGTAAAGAAAGTTACAATTGCAGAGGCGGAAATGACCCTGATGGTATTTCTTTTGTTGTACGTTTAAAGTCATCCTCTCCACATCTGATTATTCTTTCAATAATATTTCCCATTTAAAATTATGTTGTAGGAAGTCAGAGGACTCCGTGAAGAATGTCTTCAAGAAGAAAGTAGATACCATTATACGAATTGCATGATTAAAGTAAGACAAAGGAAATGAATCAAAAACTTTTCTGAGATTCCTCTGTATTAAGGACATAACCTAAAACTTCGTCTTTCCACTTAGAACCTGGAAGTACAGCTTCGTCGCGCTACTGATGAAATGAAGGCATATGTCTCTTCTGACCAACAAGAAAAAAGAAAGGCAATTCGGCAAGTAATTTTGTTGTTTTTATATTGTTACTTAAAATTTTCCCCTATATAAGATTTGTAAATAAGATAGAATTATAAAATTTGGAGTACTTAAATGAGCAAGACACTAAGATATTATTATTTAGGGTTAAATCTTGTTAAGCATCATCTAGATAGTCCAGCTCTGCTAACTAAGTCGGAATACATATAATTTTTTTTCTTGCTTGCTTAATTTTTTTATTGTGGCAAAAGATATATATGTAACATAAAATTTGCCATTTTAACCATTTTTAAGTGTACAGTTCAGAGCATTGATTACATTCACAATATTGTGCAACCATCACCACTATATTTGACCAAAACTTTTCATCACCTCAAACAGAAACTCTTGTAATCATTACCCAATAGCTCTCCATTCCCCCCTCCCCAAGAATACATATAATTTCATAGTTGCTTTTTTATAAGCACTAAGGGTGGTCTATTTTTAGTCCCACATAGCCCGGACTCTAATCATCTGCCTACTTATTGTGCAGTGTGAGTGACTGCATTTCAGCTAGAAACTGTGTCGTTGCAGAGTGCCAGCCTTCAAAATGAGGCAGGGTGTGTAAATACCACTAGTCCTTATATGGTGAATTTTTTTATAATCCTAGCTTGCAGCCTACAAGTAATATATCAAATGCTGCCTTAGAAAATACATTTATATTTGAATTGATAGCTGTGATAAAATGCAGTAATTGAACAAGAGAGCTTTTTTTGTCCCTTATGATAATTCAAATATTTTGCTTTTATCATACAGTAACACCTCAAAGTGTTAGAATTCACATTTATTTTATATTGCAGTTGAGATTTTTAGTGTCATTATACATTAATGTTACAAAAAGGAATCTAAGAAATACAATGTCTTGCAGAGTCTAAATTTTTTTATATATAGTGCATTGGAATGCAAGCCAGACTGAAAATATCCTATAAATAGAACAATATTTTTTAATATGCTAACATCAAATGTGTTTATTCAGATTCTTTCATTGAATGTAAATTTTGCTCAAATAAATCTATATTGTCAATAAAAAAACTATATGATCAATGCTAATATTTCACAAATATGAGAAGTTAATTTTGTTCTTGAAAAGTAAAACGTTTTAGAAATTGTTTCATTTCTTCCAAAGTTATCAATATAAATAGTAAAGAAGGAACTATTGCTCCTAAACTATTGGTTTTCTGATCATTTTTCAAGCTGGATATTCTTATTCTTCATTTTAAAAGTTATAAATTTTACCATTCCTTAGTTTTCCTGTAGACAAATATTGTGCCCTGACTAGAGTAGTACATGATAAGAATATTTTGAATAAAATAGAGTTAATTGTACTCTAAACTCACTGATACATGTTTAAAATATTATTACTATAGACATAATATTTTACTCTTATTCCATTTTCTACTTTTATGATACTTTCTGGTAAGGCCAAAGGTCTAAGAAATTAGCTTGATTTGAAAGATTGTCTGAAAATTTTAATTTTGTTTGAAAAGGCATCATGTTTTATTTCAGAGTACTAGAGAAGGACTCATAAAATTTTGTTTCTAACCTGGTTTTTCCAATTCCTAGTTTTGTGACCTTGAGCAAATCACTTGCTCATCTATAAAATAAGGAGAACAATATATACCACAGAAGATGAAGTTAAATATGATGTATGCAGCAGTGTTTTGGAAATTATATAGCATGAGTTCCTGGAGGGCAAGGACCCTGTCCTGTTTTCTTCTTGAAACCCCAGGGCATGCTTAGTACATAACAGGTGCTCTGTAATTATTTCTTAAATAAAGTTCATTGAATAAATTAAAATTACATATTAGTGTTATATAGAAAAAGAGCGCGAGCCTGTTGATTTCTTGAGAAAATATAAATGAAATTCTAAAATAATTTGGATGTTTCTCAGGCCTACGGTAATAAATGAATTATTTAAAGCCATCTGAACTATGACCATGTGTTCTTCTTGAGCACTATGTCATTTACATCCTCCTAGCTGTTTTTCATTGGCGAGCTGGAGAGGCAAACAGTTTGACTCAGTGTCTTATAAACTTTAAGGGCACAATGAAGATTTGTCAGGACTGTGTTTGTTCCCTTCCACCCTGTTCCTGTGCATACGTTCTGCCTTCACTTCAGCTCTGTAAGGACTTTGGATACTTTTGATTGTCATTTTCTCTATTCTAATCACTTCTACCTCCCTTTTTGCATAAATGCGACTCTTCCTTCACTTAGGCTGCTAGAGTTTCTCTTTGTGGTTTATAACTAAGATCCCCAAATTTGTGTTGTTTAATTTCTCCTTAAATACTACAGTTTAGCTTTACGTGGAAACATAGGCTGTTTCCATCCAAATTTGAGGTCTAAATTCTCTCGTATCTTCTTTGTCATTGGTTCTTTTGTCTTCATCTTTGTCCTTAACACTTTAAGTCTCACTTTTTCTCTTACGTAGTGTTAAAATGTAATTATACTTTTGTTTAAAAGTGCAATATGGTGTTATCTGTGCTTTTTATTTTTACATTAAAAACTTTTAGGTTTTTTTACCTTGCATAAGAAATACTTGTAAAAACAAAAAGGTAACCATTATGAAGTATAGTACAAAAAAATTGAATGTTGTCCACATTGGCATGCCTCAGAAATGTCTACTGTTAATATTTTGATGTACCTTATTCCATATTCTTTTCCCATGCATTTGCTAATATGTCTGTATATGTATGTGTGTGTGTTAGCAAATGCATGGGAAAATTTTATGTGTGTGTATAACAAAAATAAGATTAAACTACATATACAATTTTTCTCTTAATAATTTATCTAGAATTCTTTCCACTTCAGTATTTATAGATCTACCTCATTTTTTCTTTTTACTATTCTATATTATTCCTTTGAATGGATGTACTATAATTTATTTAAGCATTTCCCCATCTATCAACATTTAATTTGTTTGCAAATGTTCACTATTACAAGCAATCTTGAATTAAATAGTCTTTGCTTTTGTCTTTATTAACTTATGAGAGTTTTTGTGTAGGATGACTTCCTAGAAGTGGAATTGCAGGGTTAAGTGCTGTTAACTGTTTATTTAAAATGTGTATCCAAGGGCCAGCCCTGTGGCATACTGGTTAAGTTCACACACTCCACTGTGGCACCCCAGGGTTTGCGGGTTTGCATCTTGGGCGCAGACCTACACACCACTCATCAGGCCATGCTGAGGCAGCCTCCCACGTAAAAATAGAGGAAGATTGGGGGCCAGCCCTGTGGCACAGCAGTTAAGTTTGCACGTTCCGCTTCAGCTGCCTGAGGTTTGCCAGTTTGGATCCCAGGTATGGACGTAGCACCGCTTGTCAAGCTATGCTGTGGCAGGCATCCCACATATAAAGTTGAGGAAGATGGGCATGGATGTTAGCTCAGGGCCAGTCTTCCTCAGCAAAAAGAGGAGGATTGGCAGCAGATGTTAGCTCAGGGCTAATCTTCCTCAGAAAATAAAAAATAAAAAATAGAGGAGGATTGGCACAGATATTAGCTCAGGGCCAATCTTCGTCACAAAAAAATAAATAAAGTAAAATGTGTATCCTTTCTCCTGTCTGCAAACCTCTTCAAAAACAAAGTGTAATTTAAGCAAATGAGTTGCCATTGTTTTAAGGGTAGATTAAGTAGAAATAGTACTTAACATTTTAAGTCTCTTAATTTATTATGCAATCTTTTGCCTTTTTTCCCCTTAAATTACTATTTACCAGAACAACTGACTAAAGATGGGGAAAGAAAGTATTTGCTAATGAGTTTCATTCTGACTCCAGTACTCTAAACTATATTGTCTAACATCTTTAGAGAACTATGTTAATTTATAATTTAGTTGTGTGGTGAAATCAATTGAAGTGAATTGAAACTAAATCATTATGTTGACTCCCTAGGGAACAGTATACCAAAAATATTGCTGAACAGGAAAACCTTGGAAAGGTAAGAATGTATTTGTTATTTTTAAAAATTTGTCCAATATAGGTTTTCAGTACGTGGTTATAATATTGTCATTCTTTTTAAAATGTTATGGTACAGTTTTCAAGGGGAAATTGGATCCTTAATCCCTTTTAAAGATAAAAACTCCTCTTTAGGAATTTAGTTTTATAAAAGTAAAGGCACATGGATTTTTGAAAAAAATCTAGTTTTAAATAACAAAGAGCTCATGAGAAGGTTCTGCATAACAAACAGAAATATTATGTGTAATGCACTACAAGTTTTCAGATTATTCTCAGGTATCTCTGTGTATGAGATAAGCATAAATGTATTCATTTATTTTATTTGATAAATACAAAACTCTTACCATGAGCCAGGCACTGGTCTAAGCCTTTTACAAATATTGATTCATTTAATACAAATAATCGAAAAACCTTACTGGAGATATTCAGCTCCCTCCCTGCCAATTTTATATGAGGGCTACTGAAAATAGGAGTGTGTGATGGAGTGTTGTTTTCTCAGTTCTCTGAGCCACTCCTAGTAGAAGACATGGCAAATAGTAAGGGCCTTGACCATCAAGCCCAACTAATGACCAACTGGTTAATTACTCTAATTGATTTCAGAAAGCAACACATTTTGACAGTCATTTTAAAGACACTGGCTCTGTCATTCTTTTTTTTTAAAAAATACCTGCATTTATCAACAACTCAGGACCAGTCGTCAAGTACACTGACTTCAGTCCTAAGTTTGTGATTCTGGACAAACCCCTTAACCACTTTGGAGTTTACTTCCTCATATTTAAACTGAAATAGGTAGATTAGAAATTTAAAAGTTAAATTGCCTAAATGAGTTCTAAGATCATCTTTGGTGATTTTAGGTCCATGTTGCATAGTGAGGGCTAACCATGCTTCACTATACACCTTTTTATCCATTTCTTATTTAGTTTTACCAGTGAAAATTGAGGTTTCTTATTACTTTTTATAATAAGAGTGTCAAGTTTGTAGCATCATAGTTAGGGATTGTTTAGCTGCAATTTTTCTTTTAAAATATCGACTATATATAGGTGTCTGACTTCACTGTTCAAATATTCTTGAGTCTACAACCTGGAAATGGTTTTATATATACTGTATTAAAGCTTGTCCATTCTCAAAGGACAAATGAAAAATATGGCTTTGTTTCAGTCTAATGCATTGTACAGTTTAGCTATTGGTCTGACTAAATAAATTGATGATAATGAAATTATTCATCTTCATTTATATTTTCTGATTTGAATCATTATTTAAAACATACATGTATCTATGCTTTTATATGAAAGCTGAATTAGCTCCCATAAACCTAAGTAGTAATATTCTAAAGGTGAACCTCAGAAAAACAAATCGTATAGAAAATAATGGAGGGACCGGCCCTGTGGTGCAGTGGTTAAGTGTGCACGTTCCACTTTAGTGGCCCTGGGTTCACTGGTTCAGATCCTGCGTGTGGACATGGCACTGCTTGTGGTAGGCGTCCTACATAGAATAGAGGAAGATGGGCACCGATGTTAGCTCAGGGCCAGTCTTCCTCAGCAAAAAGAGGAGGATTGGTGGCAGATGTTAGCTCAGGGCTAACCTGCCTCAGAAAAAACAGAAAGAAAGAACATAATGGAATAATTGCTAAATAAAGTGGATATGTTCTCTGCTCTATCAAAACAAAACTTTTTATTATGTAAAATTTCAAGCCTATATAAAAAGTAGAGAAAACAATGGAATGAACTCATGTGTAACCACCACCCAACTCCAATAATTAAACTCATGAACAGTCTTGTTTTATCCATGGTTCCACCCCTTTCCCTCTCCACATCATTTTTAGGCAAATCTCTGGTCATAGTTCAGTGTGTATCATAAAGATTCTTTTTCAACATAACCACAATACCGTTATCATGCCAAAAATAATTTAATAATTGCGTAATACCCAGTTCCCAGTCAATGTTCAGACTTCACTAGTTGTCTCATAATTTCTTAGTGGTTTATTTGTTTGAATCAGCATCCTACTGAGTCCATACATTGCTATTAGTTAACATATCTCTTCTCTCTTTTTCTCTAGAATTTTTTCTTTACAATTTATTTGTTGAAAGAAAAAGAAAAAAGAAAGTCTGATCATTTGTCCTGATGGATTTCTAAATTCCTGAACTTTGCTTATGGCATCCCTGTGGTATCAGTTAGTGTGTTCTTCTGTGCCCAGTATGTCCTGTGAATTGGTAGTTAGATCTAGAGGCTTGATTAAATATGATTTGATATTTGGGAAGCACACTTCATAGGTGGTAATATATACTTTTATCAGGAGGTTCTTCTTGTAATGTAGGCAGCCATTGATAATCACTTCCTAGATACATTAATTCATTAGAGGTTGCAAAATGGTGACATTCTAATTATGTTGTTCCTTCTTCGTTGGCCTGGAATAAGTCTGTAAAGAGCAACTTCTTATCAAATAGTTAACCCTGTGATACAGTTTGTATAAGAAAGGCAGAATAACAACTTGATTTGCTTATTTACTTGTTCTCAAAATGATGAGTTGGTTCTTTATCACTCTTCAAAAGTATGTTTATGACTCCCAGATTTAACATATTTGTTATGTTTTGATCTATTACAATTATTGTACCCATCAGTGCTCAAATTGCCTCATGTTTGGCCAGTGGAAACTTCTTGAAGTCAGCTTCCGAATCCTTTTGAAACAATCCCGCTAGACTTTGATGCCTTCTTTATTTTCTGGCATGACAAAATGTTCTAGGCTCATCCGATACATTTCCTGTCCAAAACCTAGAATCAGCTATTTCTCTAAAAAGTGTTCATCTGTTCCTTCTGTATGATTTGTGAATAAATGTCCATCATATTAACGATAGTAAGTGAAAAATAAAAGGAAACCTTCTTAAAGATGATTTCTCCATTTTATCAGAGAGATTGTGAATTCTCTGCACATTATTCCATTGGTGAGATGACATGCCATACTCAAAAAGGAAAAAAATAATTTTTATGTTTGAAAGCATATATTTGAATCAAGTTGTAAACATTCATTTGTACAATATTTTAATTGGAGATTTTTGGGTTTTTAGGATTTAGTATGAATATCAGTAATTGGCTTTCATCCAGACATTTCATATGTTAAGTAATGTAATTTTTCACATGAAAACATTTCTGTTTCTTTTGTTTTGAAAAGTATCTGGATGGATGCTGTGTGTCCCTCTGTATCTGTGGGTTCTGCATCCGTAGATTCAACCAACATAGATTGTGTCCTATGTCCATGATCTGTGGTTGGTTGACTCCTCGGATTTTGGTATGTGCAGGGGGTCCTGGAACCAATCCGCTTTGGATACTGAGGGTTGACTGTATTTATAACCTTGAATCCTTTCAAAAACGCAAACTTTCTTGTTAAATCTAATTCAAGATTATTATTTTCCCTTCCAGTGTGGTGTTTTACTGCAGAGTCTTTGGGAAAAGCGGTAGCAGCAATCTGACATCAAGTATATTTCAGAGAAATGAGCTGTTGACTGGCTCATTCCTCAATGCAGGCAGAATCATTTAAGCTCCTCGATCTTCACACTTCTGGAGTAGATCTAAATTTTCAAGACAGAGAACAAACCTAGACTTTCAAAGTAGTGATAGCCTGAGCCTTCCAAACTAGCATAGACTGGACATCCACAGACCTCCTCACACCAACTGAGTTTCTGAAATTACATCAACCTATAGGGCTACAATTCACACTACCGTATGCTAGATGTTGCCTTACCAAGTACTCTGGAATATCGATCGTACTGAAAGTTGCAACCTTCCCCCCTACTATACTGCTTCCTCCTTTAAAGAACACTGAAATCTGTGACAAGTATTTTCTGTACCTTGAAACTATCAGCAAAATAAATCTGTATTAAGTGACAGTAACCTTAAAAATAAATTTATACTCAAGTCAGTTGTATTCATAAATATTTTAAACACACGTGGTTGTGAAGCAAATTAAATTTAATATTCCTGACACAGACAGTGCCTACATTGTATCTTTGATTCTTTAAATAACTTTTATAGGTTGTTAGGATTTTGACAAGGAAACTGTTCCAGTAATATAAGAAAAGTTACAGTTTAAGTGGGACCTTAATCTTAAAATCATGCTCAGAACTCTTAAAATTCTTGATCTGACTTACTATTTTTGTTTTAGGTTATGAGGATAAAAATATTTGTTCTAAGATACTTTATTTGTAACATAGACTTAAACAGATGTATTTGCCTGCCAGGTATTGTCTTAAAACTGTGCTGATTATATTTCAATCGTATTTTCTTCATTGTGTTTTGCTTCCTGTTGCTGTTTGCTGTCTGCTGTGCTTTCATTGGCCATCGCTGGGGAGGGCGGTCTTCAGAAAGTGGTTTGAATCTGGTCCTCAGCTCAGTTTAGTCTCTTATTTGGGCAAGTATCAGCGACCAGCTTTCTCATTTGTGTGCTTAGATCGACTATTAGATCAACCATATACTAAAAGAGGAAAAGCTGAGGATGTTCCTGTGTAATCTGTTTCTGGGTCTTAGCTTGTTTTTCTGTCCTTATTGGTGATTTCTCACACTCAGTGTCAGTGTGTGAATTTCTGTCACACTGTTTCCTTATGTGGGCACTATCATGTTCTCTGTTTCCCTCTTCTTTGCTTCCTTCTTTTCTTTCTTTCCTCTCATTGTCTCTGACTTTGTGCTACACCTCCATTCAGTCACCCTTCCTCAGTTTGCCATAATTTAGAACCAAAGTATATTTTTGCAATTTATTGAAAGTTTTTCTTATTCCTGTTTATAATTTTAGAGTCAATGAGTAGAACAGTTTTGGCAGGTGGAACCATATAGCCTATTAGTAAGAAAAACAATTCTGATAAGGATTTGGGCCTATTTAATAATGTACTTTTTAAAAAATCACTAGACTTTCTTCCTGAGGATTATCTGCATACAATTTGATTTATTTGGATATACATAGAGCATACACTGATTCAGGAAATAATACAGTATTTAACAATAACATATGTAATGCATGATAGTTTATCAACTTTTCCCATGTCTATTAGGTCATGTGAAAAAAATCTTATGAGGCAGATACGTTTATAATTATCCCCTATTATTAGCCTTAATTGACAATTGAGAAAACTGAGGTCCAGAGAAATAGTGTCTGTCTTATAGCTAGTCACAAAGCTGAAGTTGAGACTCAAGTCTTCTGACTTCCAAAATCTGCATTTTTTTCTACACCGTGATACTGTTCCACTTTCCTGATTCCCTTTAGTTTTTCCCCCTCGTTTTCTTTTATATTTTTTCTGTTCTTTTTAACTTCAGGTTGTCCTATGCCTATCATAAGTTTAATTAACTCTTAGTTTTCATACATCGTAGGAGAACCTGGTTTAGTTTACGTTACTCATCAAGTGTACATAGCATACCATGTTCTTCTGATTATACCAATAGGAGTAAATCCCTATACCTGAGATTTAATTATTCTTGATTTTTTTTTTTTACGATAGAAACTCCGGGAAAAACAAAAAGCTGTACGAGAAAGTCATGGTCCAAATATGAAACAAGCAAAAATGTGGCGTGATTTTGAACAATTGATGGAATGTAAGAAACAGTGCTTTCTGAAACAACAAAGCCAAACTTCCATTGGTCAGGTAATTCAGGAGGGAGGAGAGGACCGGCTGATCCTCTGAATTCATGTGCCATCATTTGGGGTTTCAGTTGATACTACTAGCTATAAGCATAATCCCATGTGTCTTTCTTTTCTTGAAAGTGATTTGTACAACATTTTGCTTTCGGATTAGCCATTCCTGTTAAGTTTTCTTGGAAAATAATGTTAAAGGAGATTTAGGTTTTAAAGTTTTTAATATGAAAAAGAGACTTTTATGGTTTTGCTTAGTTTAAACATCATTGGTGTCTTCTGACTTTTATGAGAGAAGAGACTAAGTTTGCTATCTGTAAACATAAACCTATGTCCATTAAGAAATGTAGTTTTTTTTAAATGTAATAACCCAATGTCTTAATGTTTTTCTTAATCTTTTTTTAACTTTAGAGGAATCTTTTAGGAGCTAGTATCTCTTGTTTTGAAGAAACATTTATCTGAAGTTCAGCAGTTCCTACAGTTTCACTTCAGTTTCTTTTTCTTCTGTAAAACTCAAGAAAAATTAATATTTTGAATAACATATTTGTTCTATTTGTATTATTTAAAGACAAATAAAACTTGATGTGCATATTATGGCTATTTAAAAATTATATAGTGCGTCAAAATTGATTATTTTTTAAGTAAAGTATTAATGTTATTATATTATATTAAATTTAAGAATTATTACTTATTTTCACCAAAAATCTAATATAGTGTTTAGGTCTTGGGGACTATTATTTTAAATATAAAAAATTGTCATGGAATATAGATGTTATCATGTGCTGAAAAGTCAAGCACAAGATTCCAAGTGAAATTTGAAAGAGTTCAAAGTGCTTCCAATCTCTACTTCATCTGAACAAGATACTTGAAGATGTCTTTGAATTTGTCCTTAAAGAAAGAAATTAAATTCATATGCTACCCTTTACTTCATTTCAGTTTCAGTATACTTTTCAAAATGTCTTTCCTTTAGATTTGAAAGCCAAGATTTCACATTGTTAGCATGTCCATCTTGAGTTAGTTCTTTCTACCTTTCCTGGGGAAAAAAATTTTAATGAAGAAAATTGTTTTTACCCTGTGTGAAATATACAAACAATCTCGATTATGGCTTTGGATCTCTTTGTTTCCAAGTATGTTCTACTCTTATTTTTTGTTTAAAAGCTGCTTTTTTGATAATCAGAGAACCTTACCAGCATTGAGATATGTTGCAAGAAGAGATGGGATCAATCAGAGCAAGGAAGGACTGGACTTACCAGGAAAGTGTAGAAAGAAATTTCTTTTAACAAAGGTTAAGAAAAAAGAAGCATCTCAGTGTTATTATTGGTTTGAATCTGGTCCTCAGCATACTTTAGTCTCTTATTATTAGTCAAGTATTAGCTACCAGCCTTCTCATTTGTGCCTTTAGATTAACTATTGGATCAACCATATGCTAAAAGAGGAAAGGCTGTGTTTCAGTGTGGAAACAAACCCTTAGTAATTCAATAATCTGTTTGTGAACATTGAGGTAGATATATTTGTTGAGTGTTGGATACTGGCTTGTTATTTTTTTTTTTTTTAAGATTTTATTTTTTCCTTTTTCTCCCCAAAGCCCCCAGTACATAGTTGTATATTCTTCGTTGTGGGTGCTTCTAGTTGTGGCATGTGGGATGCTGCGTCAGTGTGGTCTGATGAGCAGTGCCATGTCTGCGCCCAGGATTCGAACCAACGAAACACTGGGCCGCCTGCAGCGGAGCGGGCGAACTTAACCACTCGGCCACGGGGCCAGCCCCGTGGCTTGTTATTTTTAAGACAATAGTAAATGATGTTTCTTTAACCAGAGTATTAATTCCTTTGCAAATATTTGAAAAAGACTAGATGCCCTTCAGAGAAATATTGTATTCCCAAAGAAAAGTCAACTTGCAAGATTAGTAAGCCTAGTGATTCATTTTTTTAGCCTTCACCATCTTTGGTGCTCTTCTCTCAATTTTTGAAATTGTTAACGACAGATACTCCAAGGAATGCTTGTGATTCTGATTTGATTATTGCTTGCCATCCATATTCCACACAGAAAGAGTATGTGGATTAAACCCTAAGGCAGCTCCAAAATGACTTTATTAACTAAAGCAGAACATCATTAGTACTTCAAGAAAAGCAAATTGGAAAAAAAAAATAACCTAAAAGTACAAAGTTATTTATAGTTTTTATGTAACGTTGGACATTTATTAGTGCAGCTTAGTGGGTTTTGTGCAGTGAGTTTCCACTCATTTCATGATTTGATTGGAACATTAAAAAGCTTTGACTAACTCTAACAGTTTTTGACAGCTGGCACTTACAGAACAAGAGCTTACGACATTTTTCCTTCAGGATTGATACTCTAGCTGGCTAATTGATGAGAGTACTTAATCATTTTGGAAAATAATCTGTCTTCCCTGTAGCCCAAATAAAGGAGAACGATGCAGCCTGTGAGATCTGCTTCTGTGCCCGTGGAGCTCCTCCTCCTGGGGCTCAGGGCTGCCGGCTGTTGCACGGGACTGACTGTACGAACTGTAAATTTCAAAAGGCTGCTGCTTATCTCGCGTTCGGTATTAGTTCGGGAAATAATCCAACGTTAAAGGTTGTCCTTTAAGAAGGATCTTGTAATAGGATAATGGCTTTTCTGTTTTAAATCTGTTAACAACTGAATCCAAGATCATGTGTTTTCTCAGTTCAGAGAGTGTACCAGAGGGTCTTAGGACATCATTCAGAGGCATGTGGAATTCAAACCAGATCTCAGGAATTTGCGGAACACTTAACTTTCTTCTTTAGATTAATACTTTCTGTCATTTTACTTTAATTCAGCAGGCAGGAATAATAAAAGAAGCCATTTCCAAATGTATTATTTATTCCAAATAAATCCAGATGTATTATTCTGCCTAATTCATTTGTATAACATATGTAATTTTTTTGGAAAATGTTAAGCTCTGTGCATTTTCCATGTATATTTGTTTCTTAAGATTTTAGGCTAACATGATAGAGAGCACTTTTTGATAATTTGAGTAAAATAAGAGACTGAATATGTTGCTAAAACTAAAAATACATAAATTTGCAGAATTCTTCTGAATTAAATTTGAAAATATGCACAAATGGGTAACTTGCCAAAGCTACCTTTACAAAGGCAAAATCAAGGTTTGTATTGAAAAGTGACTTCGTATGAATGTGTGTGTCTTATAGAAAGCTTCTTGTCTTATGTAGGCTTTCACCTAATGTTAGTGACTAATGAGTATGAATCAAAGACTTGTTTCTACGAAGGGTGCTAGGCGCTTACATCATTCCTCTTGCTTGTCCTCAAGGAGTGTTTAGCCCTAGGGAGTGGGTAAGTTAGCACCCAATGATTAACTTCCATTAAACTTGGTTATAACAATAGCTTCTCCATTGTTGTAGTGCGGGTGAGATCTAGATTGCATATATGATGAATCCTTCTTTTTAAAAATCCATGGCAGACAGGAGAGAAATAAAGTTAAATATGTCATTGTTTTTCTGCTCAGGAGGAGCTACTGCCATAGCTCCTCCTCCCTTTCCTTTTAATAAGAGCAGTTTAATTAGAGCTGTTTGACGTGTGGCAGCCAGGCATGAGGCGAGCATTTTATCTCGAGAGGATAGAGAAGGAGCATTCCAAGTTATCTGTGTATTTTCAATCTTTGACCCTCCTGTCTTAAGACAATCTTAAAAAAAGAGAAAGCTGGTGTTATGTCGTTTAGTCCCATCCTAACCTTGCAAAAGAAATGAAACCAACATTCTCTTGGATACAGAATCAAACAAGGCTTTTTTTAAAGACTTGGACAAACATGCTTTCTGCTCCCATGCTCCCTCTTATGGCAAACTGGAAGTACTTTCTCAGCAAACCATGAAATTTCAGTTTCCTTTCTAGAATTGCTGAGAGACTTGAGTCATCAAACTTGGTTTGCTGCTGTGGAAATTCACTATTCAGAACTCAGGAGGAAATTAAAGATTTCTGTTTTTCAGTGAAAGTATTAGTTTCCACCTCAGTTCAGAGTTTAACAGCAGATTCCTGGCAAGGCTGCTGCTTAGCACTGCACGTGATTTACCTGGTAAATAGTCATAGCATTTTGGAGCTTGAAAGGAACCTCAGAATGATTCGTGTAATCATTTGTTAGATTGGGACCTTTGAGGGGTCTCTTTCCACTTCTCTTCAGGGCAGACATCAGTACTGTAGTGCTCATAGCAGATTGCTTTCCAGCATCAGGAGAGTGACCGCAATGCAGTTCACTCCTCAGGAGGGAGCCTGTTCCATTGTTAAAGAGCACAGCCTAATTAGTTTCTTGGTTCTAAAGGTAAAGCAAACTTAGAGGAAGGAAATTCTTTTAAAGCAGCAGCTAGGCAAAGCAAAATTGAACAAATTTTGCTCCCTGAAATTCTATAGTCATAATAATCATAATCATATGATGATGCCAGCGACTAACCCATTATTGAGCACTTGTTATGAACCAGACACTGTTCTAAGTGCTTTATGTGTAGGAACTAATGTAACTCTCACCATAACCCTATGAGGTAGGTACTATTATCCTCATTTTATAGATGAGGAAACTGAGGCACAGAGAGGCTTCCATGGCTAATAACTGGCAGAGCCAGGGTCCAAGACCTGTGCTCTTAACTACTGTACTGTACTGCATTGTGATTCATTTATATACTAGTTGTATGTATGCAGACAGGACATGTACATATATGATGTCCATTTATGAGCTGTAATATATATATGCAATTATTTTTAATGCTTCTTCTAATTCTTTTTTTTAATGTATTTGCTTACTGTACCTGAAGAACAAACTTTACTAAGTGATTAAAAATAAGCTCTAGCAACAAGATCAGGGAATTATACTAAAAATGGATGTCAAGTAAATGCATAAAAGGAATGAGTAGTAGTTTTAAATACAGAGCAAAATTGGAAGCTTTACAGGTTATAATTAAATCTTTCTCTGTGAAAGTATTAAAATCGTATACATCTCCTGTTGCTGGACATTTAAATTGATTCCAGTTTTTACTTTATGAACAATGCCGCACTGAAATAAAGATTGAAATGTAATAGAATAGTAAGCAAAACCACAAAATTTATTTAGTCAATTCTGGAATCTACTGCGTCCTCTGTGAAAATGCCAGGGCTAAACCAAAGAAATTAGCAAGATATTACTTGATTAATTGGAGAATGAAATTGTAAGTTCATTCATTTATTTACATATGAATATTTATTGAGCCTCTTCTGTATGCCTGACACTGTGCTAAGTGCTAAAATATAAAATGAACATGACCTGGTTTTTGCTCTCAAAGAGCTCATAGCCTAGAAAACTAATGTTATGTAGCAAAAATAAAAAAGGACTATGTATAAAAAGAACAAGGAGCTCAGAGGAATAAGCAATTAATTCTGACATGGGGGATTGAGGAAAGATTAATGGAACAAGTGGGACTTAAGTTGGATTTATAAGGATAAGTAAAGGTTTTGATGGGCATAGGAAAAGTGGAAGACAAAGGCATTGGAGAACATGGCATGTTCAGGAAATGACAAGAATTGTA